AAACACAAGAAGGTCATCAGTGTTAATAATCAAACCTATATGTGAGTATTCTAAAAATTCAAATGTAAATAGAAAATTAAATCAGGGTTTAAAATTTGTGAAAATTTTAAATCTTAAAATAGAAAATTAAAGATAATTGAATTTGGATTCATTTTAACAGTTAGCAGATCTAACCGCATTTCACTGTTATGAAGCTAGTCGTCATAGATCTAGGGCAGGGGTGTCAAACTCAAACTCACACGGGGCCGAAATGAAACTCTGGGACGGAGTCGAGGGCCAAACTTAACACTTTTTGAAAAAGTGACGGCAAATTTGCACATTTTCTTTATCAACATATATGCAATTTTGAACTTTTAATTTGGAAACAAACTTATTTCTGCATTAACACTGAATGTGGAATAACCAAATTACACACGAGCAAGTCAGTTTTAAATAAAAGGCATCAGTAGTATTCATTACTTGTGGTATAATCAGCATTTTTAAAATCTATTCAGGATTCATGTTTTCTTGTTTATTCATTTTTCTTATTATTTATTCTCTTTTTTTCTCCTGTAATAAGTGTCATCGCTGCTGTGACGTCTAGCTTTCCCCACTGAGGAACAATAAAGGGATTTTCTATTCTATTCATCTATCTGCAGCCTTTCCACTTCCTGTTTACTGTAGGTTAAATCTTTTCTCACGGGCCAACAACAAAATAAAAATATCATTTTATCTTAAATGAAAATGCAACATCTCACCTGTTAACTTTCATGTTTTAGAGCAGAAAAAGAGCATAAAACCAACATATTTAAAGCTCAGTTTGCTCCACTGGTTTACTGTGATGCTCACCTGTTCCAGCCAGATACCTGCATCATGGGGTTGATCTGAGCTGAGGAGGAGACTCCTGTTGTTTTGCTCATCTTCATCATAATAATGACAACATTAAATGACAACAGGTGCTCACATAGGTTTGTGCTGATGAACATGTCTGAGCAGCTTGACCACGTCGTTGTGTGTCGGGGAGGAAACACAACGACAGCAGCCACAGAGCCGTGCTGGTTTGAGCGTGTCGCTGCTCGCTGGAGTTATATCAGCTCTGTCTGGACGTTAGTTGGAAAACTTTCTCTTTCAGTCGTGAACACATTACTGAGTGGCTAGAATCTCCGTTTCTGGGCTTCAACGTCAGAAAACAGCTGAGTGAACTCGGCGCTGAGTGAGAGGAGTGTTTAGTTTGTCCGAGACAGCGGAGCTGCAGACACCGGCAGCAGGCGCTGGAAAAACACAAAGAGGGGGCGCGTCGGCTCCGCGCTGACGCCGCAAAGCATCATGGGAGTTGAAGTCTTTGTGGTAAAATCGGCCAGCGGGCCAGTTTTAATATATTTTTTATATTTATCTCGCGGGCCACATAAAAATGCTCCGCGGGCCGCATCTGGCCCGCGGGCCTTGAGTCTGACATTTGTGGTCGAAACCCACAGCAGGACAACATCAAAGACAGCCAAGTCTGTACGTTATGTATAGACATGAATTATATCCACGCACAAACACACACACTCAAAACAGAACCTGGGTAACTTGAAACAGAGAACAGAGGGTGAGGAGATAAAAATCACCCCCCCCCCCCCAAATGCCTCTGGAGGTACGAGAAGAGATGGAGGTGGAATTGGAGGCGGGTTGCCGGTAGATAGTGGAGGTGGAGGTGCAGTACCATTTGGAACTTTAGGCGTCAGAGTTTTGTTTAGACGGTCCCCCAAATGACAGAGCGAGTTCCCCAAGGGGCTCAACCATGCAGAGAAGTGACGGAGTAGTGTGTACTCCTATCCAAGGGACAGACAGCAGTTGACATATGTAGTGAGGAAAATGACAGTCAGAGGAGGACCAGGAGTAGGTCACAGGCTGAAAGATGAGGCCGCAACCTGAAGAGAGCTCATGCAGTACCCTGTCTACCACACTAACCCGAACCATGGTCGGACCGCTGAATACAACACGTTTCACAGTAGCCGGAGACTGAGCAAAGAAGATGTTATTACAGAAAGGAGAGAACTCCACAACAGACCTGTGTTCATCTGGACCCAAGTAATACAGAGAGACCTCAGCAGTGTGGACCACGGTGGTCGGGGGGAAGGGACTTCCCTTTTGAGCTTGGTGCCATGAAGCTTGACAGTGTCACCCCTGACAGAGTTGAGAAGCCCAAGTTAGAGTGACCCAACTGTATTATCAAATGAGAGGAACTCAGGGAGGAGACGCTCCCTGCCTCGGGTACCAGACACTACAGAACTGGGAACCATGAATTTCTGTACCTGGAGTAGCATGTGAAATGTCTGCACTTAATCTACTTCAGGGCTTCTTTATCTACCGACCGACGCAGCGACAGACTGAAAGGAACTCATAATCCTTTGGCATAAAGCTTTGGCTATCCAAACTGCAGAGTTTGAGCTACTAACATAAACTGGTCTGTCTCTTCTCCGAGCGATAAACACGCCATTTTGCCGGTCGACCAAAGACTCGAGAGGAGGAAGGGACGTAATCGTCAGCTGATAAAGTTCATCCTCACGAAGAGGAGACAATTGAGAAAAAAATCCAGGAAACAAACAGGATTTGAGATTAGGGCAGATTGATGTGCTTAAGTCCTTCTTTCAGAAAAAGGATGTATTTGCATCTTCTTTAACAGTATGAGGCCAGGAATATGGACCCACTGAACGTTACTTTTTACATCCGGGTAACTGCACACATCCACACAAGCTGCAGGGCAAGGACCCCGTCTCCAGCCATCATCCAGAGCTTCTTTTGTGCGTTTGTTCTGTAAAACCCGTCAAGTTCCAGTTCTTGGTTCTTTTCTCACACTCCTTCCTTTGGTCTGTTGTTCGTGTGCCGAGTTGGTGTCCGGGTTCTCCGGGTTCTGTATGTTTTATTGCAGAGATTACAGCAGTTTGGAGTCCAGCTGGTATCTAGTCATGTCAGTGTACTAGCTGTTGTCGAACTGTTGTGTGTAGTTGTGTTGTGTTTGTCATTGTTGTGCTTTGATGTAAGGAAGGGTTATCACTGGTTTAGTTCTTGTCTTTCTGGGTTTTTGGTTCTTCATTTTGGTTTGCCTTGTGTTTCTGTTGTTGTTTGTTGTTTTCCTTTGTTTATTGCCCATGTTGGCTATCCGCAGGTTTTTAAAGTGTGTCGTATACGACGGTCTTCTTGTTCACGGTCTTGTTCTTCTGTTTTTATGTTTGCTCGGGTTAGGGTTAGGATTTATGACATTTTAAGTACGGTTAGGGTGTTCTGATGTTCTAATGCACATCGGTCTGTGTGTGTTGGTTTCCTGCATGTGTGTATGTTACAAACCTGCGGATCCAAAAGCTTCCAGGTGCGTTTGAAATGGCTAGCGAGCTATGGGGCGACAGTCCTCCTCAGAGCCGGCCGTCTGGACTTCTCACAGCTGCGTCTCCCAGAAGTTTGAAAGACAACTGTAGATCCCACTCCACGACTGAGCTCTGTGTATGGGTCGTGGCTGGACTATATACAGGGTGGCTTGATAAAACTTTGGCCTCGACACACTGAAATCTCCTTCTGCAGACTTGACCAATATGGCTACAGTGAACTTAGACCCTCAGCATGCGGTCTCATGAATGCATGTCAACTGTGTCATTTTTGGAACTCTGTTTATCCGGTTGTTACCTGCACTTCCTGTTTCAATTCCTGATCCAGTGAGGAGACGTATGGTTCTTTGAGGGGAGCCGCTCATTCAGGAGCAATTTACCTCAAAGAACTGATCCAGTCACTGAAAGACCAATGACCAGTTTTCTAAGAAGGACTCAGTTCTCGCAGTTCACTTTGAAGGGCAAAACAAATTTTATATTGTTTAATGACAGAGACAACAAAGACGTAACAGTAAGACTAAATGGACATTCAAAGGGTGAAAGAAATGAAATATTTAGGAGTCATGTTTGATGAAGCTACAACCTGGAAGTCACACACAGGTTATATCAGAGGTAACATTGCCAAAGCCATTGCTGTACTACATACAGTTAAGTTTTTACTGAATAGTTCTGGATTGCTGACTTATTGTTCCATACTTGACTTACTGTGTAGAAATATGGAGATCCACATGTAAAACTCATACACAACCACTGTTTATTCTACAGAAAAGAGCATTGAGAATCATTAATAACAATCACTAGAGATCCATCCAACCCGTTATTCATCACATATAAACTACTGAAATTTTATGATCTAGTGAATATGAAAATATTGCAAACTATGTCTAAAGCTAAAACCAATACGTTACCCACCAACATTCAGAAAATGTTTGAAAAAAGAGTCAGTAATTATTTCTTAAAAGGAACTGAAGTGTTTAAAAAATGAAATTTAGAACCAGAAAGAAGGAGATGACTATCTCTGTAAATGTGTGAGAATATGGAACAACCTCAGCAGAGACTTAAAAGAATCAAAGTCACTAAATATATTTAAAAAATGTATAAAATCAAGTGTATTACAGAACTACAATAACCTACATTCAGTTGGTGTCTGATTCGGTCTGTAAGTTACAAGATTATAAAATGAATCTGTGTTTCGTTTTGTTTTGTTGTTTATTGAGAATTGTATGGAAGCATTATTAAACAGTTTGGTTTGTAAATAGGGGCAGAAAATATAAGATATTCTTCCTTCAGCCCCTTTTCATTCAAATTGTTTGGTGTTTATGATTATGTATGTTTTTGTTGTTATTTATATATATATATATTTAAAACTTTGAATGAAACAAATGAAGATAAAAAAGAAAATGAGCCATTTGGATTCATTTATGAATGTCACATGACTACCAAGATGGCATCACTCACAGAAACAAACCCATTGTTGGTTTTAATTTAACGATGCTTGGAAAACAAAGTCTTTTTAACAAACTGTTAGATGTTGCTAAAACTCCACTCACTCTGGTCCAGCTGGGATCTTTCTGCGTGTTTTATTTGTGCCGGAGCTGGTTCTGGGTCAGATATCATTGGTTGCAGGTTCTGACTCCAGTTCTGGTTCTGTTTCAGACTCTATGACGGTACAGAGAGGAAAGAAGCTCAGCATCTCCATCCAGGAACACATGGCCATAGACGTCTGTCCCGGACCAATCAGGCCCATCCGACAGATCTCCGCCTATTTTCCCCGCCTCTCGCCCACCTCCCCCACCCCCACATCTCCAAACCCCGCCCTGTCTCCAAACCCCGGCTCCTCCCCCATAGCCCTTAGCCCCCCAGCGGCGGCCACAATGGGTGGGGCTCAGCTCCTGTCCCCCCTGAGGGCCCATGGCAGGTGGGGTGGAGGCGGGTCGTTGTCCCAGAACAGCAGCATGGAAACGTCGGTGGAGATCAACAGCGACGACAGTGACGACAGCAGTGAGCCTCACTGTCGGCATGTGTCTGTTTGTGTGTTTGTGTCTTTTTGAGTGTTTGTTTGTTTGTTTGTTTTCCACAATGAGTTTCTCATCAGTTCTGGTCCACTTACACATTTAAAGGCAGTTCTCCTGCGGGACCGGGGCAGTCCTAATGTGGGTTTCTGGCTGGTGGCTCAACATGTGACAACGAGACCTGGAAGTGGGAGCCAAACCAGTACACACAGTCTGCCTCGTGAGGTTTAAGACAGATCACCACAGGGTCCTTGTTTCTACCGTTCAGGAGGTCTCAGCAGCAGCAGGCTGGATCAGTCTCCTGACACATCTGTCACTTCCAAACAAAGACTGAAGATCTCTCAAACGTAGGGTGGGCATTTTTCTGTCATCAACTAAAATCATCTTCATCCAAAAGAACCTGGAGGCTTTCCAGATCCTGGATAAGTTCTCTGTTAGCTTCAGATCTAACTCCAGGTACCTAAAGTCACATCAACAGTGTTTCAGTGATCGACTCTTTCAGACTCATTATTTAAATTGATAATTATAAACTGTTTGCATCCCTGGAGCTACTTTTTCAAGCTCTTCTTTCTGAGAAACATTAAAACAAGAGGAGATAATAAAACGTTTCAGGAATGAAAAGCTGCAGCTTCTCCCTGGTCGAGTTCCTTTCTGCTGCTCCGACACGCAGAACCAACCCCTGAGCCCATCTCAGCTCACAGAATCATTCATCTGTTGTTGTCAAACACAAATGAATAATCCAGAGCTTTACGGTGTGTGTGTGACACGAGGACATCAGCTGAGCGACATCAGGTTTTATAGACCAAACAGGAGAACCGACGACGTTCCAACAGATGAAGGTTTGAAATGAAATCGTCCAGTAGAGACCAACATGAATAATTCATGTCTGCATGTTGGGAAAATAAAACATGCAGCTTGGATCAGATGGGTTTCATCAGCTGGACCAGTCCGGGTCTGATAAGAACTATTTTAGACCTGATCAGACCTGAGGGCCCGGTTTGGACCTCAGACAAGTCTCCGTGCAGCTGAGGAGGGATTCTTAGGCTCTGCTGGTCCAGTTAGTTTCTCAGCTTCTTTGATTCACCTCTGAAGGTTTTTACAGAACCAGTCCTGGTTTAGCAGCAGCAGACAGATGATTAGTCATTTTTGTGTCGACTGATGAGACTTTGGATTCATCAGAGCAGAGAAACCTGAGGGAGGAGCTGAGTATTTGACAACCTGCAGAAACTAGAACTTGCATCTTTGATCAAACCGAACATTTCTAACGTGGATGATGAGATCTCTGAAGATGTTCCTGTTCTGCTGAGCGTTCTGCTGAAGCTCTGAGTGACTGAGCACAGGTTTCTGTGGCTGATAGCTGCTGCCTCGGGCTGCTGTGAACCGTGTAGGTGGAAGCAGAAACGTTCAAACAAGCAAACCGAGCGTTGTGAGGTTTCATTTTGTGAAACGAGCTGCAGAAGAACCAGCAGAGAGCCTGACAGTTTGGGCTTGGTGAGAGACCCAGCAGAACCGCCCTGGTCCTGGTTTCTGTTTGATAAAACTGTTCAAATCAGATCCAACTCAGACCCAGTGTCGATTGTTGAACCCAGGCAGGAAGGACCATGGTTAGAATTCGTTCATCTTCACAGAACCATGAGATTATTTTCATGTGAAAAACAAACAAGTCACAAATGTTTATATTCATTTTTTGCAGTAAAAAATGTTTACATAGAAATAATAAAATGGTATTTTTCATCGACATCCACACCAACCCTTTACAGACTTAGATAAAGCCTCTTCACAGAAGCTTCCAGAGGGGAGCAGAACCTCGGTGAACCCTGACTTGACCACAGGACATCCTGAGTCAAACCAGGTCTGGCTCAGAAGATAAGGACATCAAATCGTTGTTTCTGTTTGGTTCATTGTGACGACAGCTTGGGGATCAGATGTTTGTTCATGTTTATTGAATCAGAGCTTTTGTGGTTCCACGTTGCTTCAGCCTTCATGCCGGAACGTCAACAACCTGCAGGACTGAAGCTTCTGTTGAATTCAGTTTCAATCTGGGAGACTTCTGCAGAAATCCTCTGAGGGAGGTGAAGAGGAGGGATAGTTCGGAGTCCTTCTCTCTGTGAGCATCACCCCCAGACTGAAATTAAACCACGTCTTCCCAGTCTGTGGGCTTGTTGAGTCCAACTGCATCCCTTCACTCATGTGTTCATCTGGACTCGAGCTGAAGCTCCTGCTTCTTCCTGAACTCTGATTAGAGTCTGTTTGGAGTTTGGTGACTTGTTTAGGGTCAGTGACTCGTTTCAATTCAGTCACTGTCATTCTTTAGTCATTTTGAACATTTGTGACTCTTTGGCTCTCTTTAGTCCTTACAGTAGCTCAGGCTGCTCCTGGTTCGGGTTCTACTTCAGGATAAATGCTTCGTAAAAGGTTGTTTGAGTGTTGACGCCTGAACCAAGTTCCTGATTTTTATTAGTCATTGAACGCATGCGTGTGTGTGTGTGTGTGTGTGTGTGTGTTTGTGCGTGTGTGTGTGTGTGTGTGTGTGTGTGTGTGCGCGCGCGAGCGTGCACGTGTGTGTGTGTGCGTGTGTGTGCGTGCGTGTGTGTGTGCGTGCGCGTGCGTGTGTGTGTGTGTGTGTGTGCGTGCATGTGTGTGTGTGTGAGTGTGTGTGTGTGCGCGTGCGTGCGTGCGTGCGTGCGTGCGTGTGTGTGTGTGTGTGTGTGTGTGTGTGTGTGTGTGTGCGCGTGTGTGTGCGCGTGTGTGTGCGCGTGTGTGTGTAGGATGCTTGCTCCAGCCCAGAAGAACGTGTTTGTTCTGGACTTTAGGGGATTTTCCATGTTGACATGTGACGTGTTGAGATTCGTGTGACGGGAGCCGCTCCACTGAACTGGATTTGGGTTCTCTGAATGTTCTGCGTTTCTGAGCTCTCCTCCTCTCTCGCATGCTTCATGTATTCTGCTAGACTCTGAGCAATGTTTTCCTGATGTTCTGGCTGAACACTGAGCTGTTTTTAGGATTTCTGATTATCGTCTCTGTTTCTCCAGCTGCTCTGGGAACGCTGGAGTTTGAGCTGAGATACGACCAGAACTCCAGTGAGCTGCACTGTACCGTGATCCGGGCCAAGGTGAGAACCTCTCACTTACTCTGTTTTATACACATGAAGGAAGGGTTTCCCGTGAGCTTTGCCTGCATCAAGAACCGTTGTCTTCATTTCACTTTGTTGGCTCCATTTTTACTTGAAATCTAAAGTTTTCACAAACAGTTATTTAGATCTGGGTTGTTATGGTCAGAGTCAAGTCATCTCTAGATGTTTCAGCTTTAGCAGTCTAACAACATAAACCAAACCTGGAGTTACAACAGTTCCTCCTGCTGTAACTGGTGTTCCTGGCTGCAGGAGGAGGGAACCCTCAGAGAGCGGTGTTTCTGTTTGTCTGGATCCGTGTGTTCACTGACCTGGAAAACCAAGTCCTAGAGCAGGTGCTAAAGATGACAGAGAAAGCTGCAGCAAACCAGTTTTTGGTGTGAAAAGCAGCTGGAAAGATGCAGAGTAGAACAAAATGTTGATTTGTTCTGTCGGTGAGTGCCACCTTCAGGAAGTAGTCACATCCATGCAGGTGAATGTCATTGTTTATGGATGGTTAGGGTTAGTGATCGTTGATCAGTGGCACAATGATGCTTCTGTAGGTTCACGCCTCAGGAGCTCCATCTACACTAACACTAACCCTTCTGTGTAGCTGGTTAACTTGCATTGATCGGTTCTTCTTTTTAATCTGTGTTTTAAAAGAACCAAGCAATGCATATTTTTACATTTAATGCAGGTGATTACAGTCAAAGCAAAGTTAGCAGATTTAGATCAAAAGGTTTTTTTTATCTGATTTGGCTTCTGAACTCTTCACACATAGCTTATTAAACATCACGACAAACCATACATGGCATTTCTAGCATGTAAAAGCTTCTTCTGTGTTGATACACACGAAGGGTTGGGTTCACTGTTGAGCACTTGTGCTGATTTATCCAAACAGGTGAGGAAACTCATATTTACAGCAGAGCCAATGAAAAGACTAAAGTTACATCAGTCTGCAAGGAAAACATTTCACATGCGTTATTATTAAGGTGCCTGTGTGCCAGGTCTGTGCTACTGGAGCATCTTCAGCCTGAACCGAATGTTTGGCATAGAGAAGCAGACGGGTAGTGTTGTCCACTCAGAAAAGGGGTGGGGCCATTGCACATTTACCCAGACGTGTTGCTCCAACCCATCTTGACAGACATCTGCTGACCTTCTAACTAAGTTTCAGGTTTGATCCTCCCATAAAATGTGTCAGGAGTTATTTTTAAACTAAAACATTCATATTTAATATGAGAGCAGCTCAGCACTCCTCTGAGAGCTAAGCAGTTGAAAACAAAGCGTTGCAGATCTCTGATCCCACTGCTTTGTGTATGAGTGTATGCGTTTGCGTAGAGGAGTCGAACCGGTGCTTCGAGCAGCACCGATGCTCCAGAGACACCAGCAGCTTCAAAAATGTTCAGGAGGAGGAGGCTCTATTGAGAGCTCTCGCAGAGCTTCTCACAGCTCAGCCTGTCCTCCACACATTCCTCTGGATCACAACAGAGGTCTCCTCGTCTCTGCAGCTCACAGAAGAGCAGCGAGCTGGTTAATAGTAAGTCACTGTCTCTTTCATGAGCACACGACTCTCAGTTCTCACGGAGTTGACTAGAAATTGGGGGAAAGTTCTTCCTCTGTGCAGGACCCAGTTAAATATTTTTAAATATTTAGATTTTTTCTCTTTCAGTCTCAGATTTTTAGAAAGCAGAAAAATGAACGGCTCCTGACTCCAGTCAGCCGCAGGCGCATGTCTACATAAAACCAGCTAAGATTAAAAATGTGGAACTGAGTCTTATTCTGACAGTTTGGGCCGGGGAACGTTTAGAGCAGAACCAGACATTTACTGCAGACGGCTCGGGTTAGGGTTAGAACGGTTGGAACGGTTTATGTTTGCAGCCGAGGTCTTTTCTCTGCCACGCAGCTTCTGTGTGACAGCTTGCTCTGACGAGTGACACAAACATTGAGTCTTTGTTAGCTGCTTGTTCTCCTGGTGTCATCCTGATGGCTGAGCTCATCTGTCTCACAGAAAACTCATCTGAGCGACAGATGTGAGTCAGTAAATGAGATGTTAACTCGACAGCCATCAATAACCACAAACAGCTTCTTTCTGCCTTGACTTCATCTAAATAAATGCTAGTGACATCAGCGAGCAGCTGTTTGCTGTCTTATTTCATTTGGAGGATAACCAGGTCGGTGTTTACAGCGCTACCTCTCTGTGGCTCCACATTCCAGTGAAAACATCTTGACACGAATCGAATCAGCCTGACACACTGGTCCTCCGTGTACTGGGCCCAGTTATGATTCCAGCAGACAGAACACTGCAGCAGCATTAAAGTAAATCACACTAATAGAAGTCAGTTTGAGATTGCTTCATTTTCTTGTGGATGGGAGGTCATTTGATGTCCTGCTGTCTCTGAGCCCTCCGTTAGTTTCCTGGAGTCTTTTTGCCTTTCTTTGGTTGGTTGAGGACCTACTTAAATAGCAGGGGTTTCTCCCTCAGGCAGCGACTCTTTCTGCTGCAAAGTAATCCAGTTTCAGATGAGCTCAGCGCTGCCTGCTGTGTGCAGAGCACCACTTCCTGCAGGGGAACGCTCAGCGTTGTTAATATCAGCAAACAAAAGAGGAGCGGGTGAAAGCTGCTCTGTGGACTCAGACACTCATCCGCTCTAATAATGTTGTCTTCAGTCTTTTATTGTCTCAATCAGAAACTTAATCACTGCTGGTGAGGTGGTACACAGACCCAGATCCTGCTGATGGACCATTAAAATGTAGATTTTGTTTTATCGGTCCTGTCACCTGTCCTTGAGCGCTCCCAGTGACTGTTCTCCCAGTAAATCCCAGTGTGTGATCCCACCTGTCAACTGGAATGTTGGATTTAACTTCAGGCTTCGCTGAAAGCTCGCAGCCTTGTCAGTCTCAATGTGTGTGTGTGTGTGTGTGTGTGTGTGCGTGTGTGTGTGTGTGTGTGTGCGTGTGTGTGTGTGTGTGTGTGTGTGTGTATGTGTGTGTGCGTGCATGTATGTGTGTGTGCACGTGCGTGTATGTGTGTGTGTGTGTGTGCGTGTATGTGTGCATGCATACGTGTATGTGTGCATGTGTGTGTGTGCATGCGTGTGTGTACGTGTGTGTATGTCTGTGTGTGTGTATGTGTGTGTGTGTGTGTGTGTGTGTATGTGTGTGTGCGTGTGTGTGTGTGCGTGTGTGTGTGTGTGTGTGTGTGTGTGTGTGTGTGTGTGTGTGTGTGTGTGTGTGTGTGTGTGTGTGCGTATGGAACTAGGATTGGGACAATATTCAGCGTAACGTACCAGGTTTTGTAACTTCGAACATGTTTCATCACATGTAACTTTGGATTTGTAACTTGTAATTCTCAATTCCTACTTGTATTTCTTGTTTTGTAACAGGAACATTGTATTTTGTACATGTATTTTTTATTTTGTAACATCAAACATTCATTCAGAAACATGAAACTTTCGTTTTGTAACTAGCAGAGGTACAAGTTTGAAATCAAAGCTCTCAAAACACACATTTCATTCTACAGGTACAAACCTCAAATCTACAGCGTTACGAATCTTTTTGTCTCGATTCTAGCGTCAGTGGGAGGAACTTGGGTGGAACCAATGAGAGCACGAGTCTTGGCTACCAATCACGTTTCTCGAATTCCTGTCCAGTCATTGGGAGAGGAGGGCAGGGTTCTGTCAGAGCTGTAGAGAGTTACGACACTCCAATAGACTCCTATGGAATGGGGAAGTCACGTGGTTTATGTAGCTTCGAATAGTTCCAGTCCCGCTGCTGCATTGACTGTATTTCATTTTCGGTGTTTCTGAAGGATTTTCTCCGGTAAGTTGATGAAATGTCATCATTTTGTTGCATTGTGAAGCGTTAGCTAACCGCTTCGTACCAAAATAAGCCAACGACGATATTTTATGTTCCCAGTTTTAGCTAGATAACCTTTAATGAACTAACTGTGTGCAGCTGTGTTTATGTAACGGACGCTGAGTCGCGTCCTTCAGTCTTTGAAACGAGGAAAAAACAACCCGCAAAATAGCTAAAATTAGCTTATCGATACAGTATCAGCTACGTAAATGAACACGATGGAAGCCCGTTAGCTGCAGGTCATAGCTCAGTAAGAACAGGTATGTTGTTACAGTTGTCTGAAAGTTTGCTTCAGGCGTGTCGGGGGTTGTGAGCAGGAGGGTTTAGACAAGCGTGACGAACTGTAGTCGGGTTTATTTCAGCTTGTTTGATTCTACGTTTTAAAAATATTCCCCCCAGTTTGAAATAGGTTATAAACTTTTTACATTATTAGTTTTATTTGGGATTTTTCTGTACAATACGTTGCTGTATCAACACGAACATGCATCAGAAATGGAAGCACAAATGGAGAGACCAATAATAAAGAAAATGTGATTGTGAAGACAAGTAATTATTTAATATTTTTCAGTTAATAACGCTGACTACAACAAACTGCTGGAGCATGAGACAAACAGGATTACGAACGTAAGAAGATATGTTGTTCTGTTTTGTGGACTCAAGTAATAAGAATAGAATTAAGATAATTCAAGAATGGTAGTCGAACAATAACTTTTAAAAATTAGACATTTTCCATAAAACTGCTCATTTCCACTTGCTTTATAATATTAGCATTTGCAATTGTGTTATTAAGGAATGACAAGAAATAAGAATTTATAACATAACTATCAATAAATAAATATCAAAGAGTAACTAAAACAAAGATCTTATGTAACCATTAAAGGTTAAACTGTGTCATGTGTCCATCTTCATGTTTTCATAGTGGCTGAGCGGAGAGCTGACCAGGAACAACGGTGGTGGCAAAACCCAGTTGATGCACGCCTGGAGTGATTGCCATCTCATCCACAGTAAGCGCACACTCTCTTTCCATGCCTGTCAGACTTTTAACCTTCAAACTGAGCATGTCACACACCTCTCCTAACACACCTGGTTCCAGTTAACGGGCTGCATTTGTCTGTGCAGGGTTCTAACATCAGGCAGAGGGATACTCA